TTTTCCCTTTTTTTTTTTTTTTTTTTTTTTTTTGCAGTTGATGAGCCTTTTGTTTGTGCGTCTCGAGTTCTGGTGAGTTCATGATGGGACTTGGTCATCGCCAGCCCTCATTGTTGGATCGGCTACCAACAAAAGGGACATATCCACTATCCGTCCGGGATGACGGGCTCGGGCGAAGCGGCCAACTAACTGGGCAGCGCAAGCGGCGTTGCCCTACCGCCTGCGCAAGCGCCTTTTTTTTGGTCCTTGAACATGCATCGCGTCGTTGTTGGCAAGGTTGGCCTGGGGCTTGTTTGCGCCGTTGGCGGGCGTTGTTGCAGAATGGGTTGCATCTGGCGAGAGGCGAAGCGGGTCAGTTCAACTTTCTCCCCCTTTCTTAACCGAGTAGTAGTTAGTCGAGGGGGCGGCGCGTGCCATTGTCTTACTGGCGCCCAAAACCGTCGGTTCTTATGTCGAGGAGGGGGGGAAGGGGGTTCGCTGACCAAGGGCGAAGAAAATAGAAAAATTACAAAGAAAATAGGCGGACAGAAAGATGGGAAGAGAAGATGTCGATGCTGCCATCATCCGCGTGGATGGCTGCATCTCCGCGGCTGGCGGTTAGCCCGTTCAGGGGGACGCACATATAACTTGGCGAGGCTGCTGTTGTGCGACCCATCCCCAATGCAAGGCAGACGGCACAAGACGTGTTGTCATAGAATCACAGAATATACACCTAAAATTAGTACGTTTTTTTTCTTCTTCCGGAGTCTTCTTCATCAGCAAGGTAATGCAGCAGTGACGGCAAAGTTGAGCAAACTTTTCACTCTGCCCCGTGCGAGATGCAGACTTGTTTGCCTTACAGCGGCTCATCTGGCCAACTTGGAACCACGGGTGAGGCTACGAAACAAGCCAAGACGTCGCGGGGGCGATTCTGTGATTGCGCTGCTTGGAATAAGATGACGAGGGGAAGGAACAGGACAGGGTGACGGCAGAGAGGCGGCGGAATTGCTCCGTTGCGTCGGCGAGAGCGGCAAGTACAGGCAAGCACATGGACCAAGTACACTAGCTAGGACCAGATAGGAGACAAGAAGAAGCACAAACACAAGCAAGGCAGAGTATAAGCAAACTTGAGAGTTGATTCTATAAACAGTGCTTAGTAACGCTTTATACTCTGTCTTGTCCAGTATTCCTATTGCAATGGAGTCCTCACAATAGATCCTGCCGTCCCTACCCCCGTCTCCCTCCATCACTGCCCCTTCAACTCGAAAACTTCTGACTGGCCAATGGTAAAATCCTCCTCCGTTCCATTCACCACCTTCGTCCCGTCCGCCTCCTTCACCTCCTTCACGTCCGCCCACCGCTCCACGCCCTCCGGCCACCACATCATCGGCGGGTACACCAGCTCCCTGCCCACGTCCACCCTCTCCCACCCCATGCTCGCGTACGCCTTCATCCCCTCCGCCGTCGCCTCCAAGTACGCCGGCACGCCCACCTCCGCGCACCGCTCCATGCCCCAGCGCACGCACGCCGTCGCCGCGCCCTGCCTCCTCCACGTCGGGTCCACCGCCATGAACGTCAACAGCCCGTACGGCCGCCCCTTGACAAAGTCCTGCCGCGCGGCGACCACCGGCCCGAGCATCGCCTGCGCGCCGGCCCGCGCCGAGGCCGGCTCCACGTACTCGAGGCGGTTCGTGTACGGGTCGACGACCCATTCGGCAGCCGTGCGCACGCGGTCGTACACGGCCCACTCGGCCGTCGCGACGATGGTCTCGGCGCCGGTGGACGGGTCGGTGTGCACGCAGTGGATGGCGAAGGGCACGGAGGGGAAGGAGGCGAGATGCTCGGTGTGCGCGCGCCAGTGCACGGCGGCGGTGGCGGCCCACGAGGACGGCGTGTGCGGGCCGAAGAGAAGCGGCCCGATGGGGTCCGGCGAGAAGGAGGCGTTCATGATCTCGGCGCAGCGAAGCATGTCGGCCTCGCGGCTGGGACGGATGGAGAAGTTGGGATTGACCATTGTGTATGTGTGTGCTGTGTGTTTTGTGTGTGTGCCTTGGCTGTGTCTGCACAACGCTGCGAGTGTGGTGGTGTAATGTTCGTATCTGTACAGGTCCGTGATTCTGATTGGAGGTTCGGTCAGATCGGAACCGGGCGGCTTGCGGCGATGTGGTGGCTTGACAAGAAAAACTTCGGCGGCGGCAGGAAAAAGGGAAGTAAGAAAAGCAGGTAAGAAAAAAAGAAGGTAGTGAGGGGGCGGGGTCCTTTATTTTTAAAACAAGAAACACATCAGCCTTCCTTCCACCGCGGACATATAAGACATGCAGGCCAGTTCATAGTGAACTGATTTTCCCGCACTTGTGGAGTTGACATACAGTAGGTACCCAGCTTTGCCCTTTGCGACTCGCCGGTGCGGTGGAGGTGGCTTCCTTCATGGCTGTTTCCGAGCCTTTCTTTGCCACAGCATTGCACTCGCATGTAACTGATCATCTAAGTTATGGTTCTGGCGTTGTATCCTGAGCTGGCGAGGCTGCGCAGCTTCGTTACAAAACTTGGCAATTAGTAAGCTCAACCTGGCAGCCTCGCTTTTACGATTGGTAAGCTGTCATGGTTGTGTGGGTGAATAAATTCTGCTGTTAGCCTTACGAAAAGGCTGATACCTGCAGATTTAGCATGCAGGGTATGACGCTCATCCCGTGTCTCATCAGGCATGTCGACTACCTTGGTAGGCAGCTGACAACATACCACCTACATACCTACTTCGACATTTGCCCACACTCAAGCAACAAGAGACTGTAAACTTCACCCCACTGGTCACCAAACTACAGATTACGGTGACTCGACACCAATACAGCTCCCCGTCCGTCAGATAACTTGAGTTAGTCGACAATAGAATCACGGCGTGCAGGCCACTCACGACACACCGACGTATACAGAGAACCATTTTGTTCAGGATAATGTAGAGCAACTAGTGACAAAGGAAACAAAAGATAAGCTTCAGAAAGCAGCAGCAATCCATGTGAGATAATGTGACTTGATGGCAAATCCCTCCACCCCCCGAACGTACGCAAATCGCAACGCCAATTCGTGATTCGAAAGACTCAAGAAAATAATCAAGTGGCATGGTGTCGTCGTCGTGTCAAGCGCGCGCAAAAAGCAAACGTGGCCAAAAGAAGAGCCCTGTAAAAGACAACAAGACAAAGGAACCCGCCCCGCCCAGAGCGTGAGCAGCACGGCACGTCTTCTGATTTCAGTCCAACGCCCCGAAAAAAACATGCCCCCCAGGCAGAATGAAAACCGTTTCCAGGGGAAACAAAGGTTGCCAAGAAAAGACAAACAAACGCACAACATCATGTGAGCCGAATTCCACAAAGGAGCTTCTTGTAACATGGGTCATGTTCCCGTCCCAGAAAGCTGCTGATATTCAAGTCTTGCCGTAATCGAGTCGACGAAAACACAGACTTGCTGGTTTTAAAAGTTCTGTTTACTGACAAATGTCCGTGGTTAGCCCTGTCTCATCAACGTGTGCCAGCTTGTTACTCGGTTCCATTTACCTGGGGAGGGCCAGCAGGTCCAGGGGGGCCGGCAGGACCGGCAGGACCCTGACCGGGAGCAGGACCGCCAAAGTGCTGAGGACCATAAGGACCAGGACCACCGTGGCTAGGCATTCCCATGTAGTGAGGAGGAGGAGGGGCAGGGCGATAAGGGGTACCAACGCCAGAGTTGTTCTGCGAGCGGCCCCAGCTCAGGCGGACGCGCGAGTTGCCTATCGGGTAGCCTTGCATCTGGTTGATGGCCATTTCGGCCGCGTGACGGTGGACAAACTGGACGAAGCCGCAGCCCTTGCCAGGAGGAATCTTGACGTAGGTGATTTCACCGAATCCCTGGAAGAAGGACCGGAGCTCGTCCTCGGTGACGTAGCCCGACAGACCACCTACAAACACGGTTGTGTTGTTGGGATCGGTGAACTGATTCATCTGCGTCGCCGGGTTGTAGCCGCCGTAGGCAAAGCCCTGCATGCCGTTCCACATGGGCTGCTGAGGCATGCCGCCGCCCATCATGGGGCCGCCACCGTGGTGGCCGTGTCCGAAGCCGTGGTTGCCGCTTCACAAAAGTTAGTTTTTCAATGACACATGGCGATTTGGACAGCAATAGCCTACCGGTTCTTAGGAGTAGCAGTGGAGATGCGCATTGGTCGGTTGCCACAGTAGACACCCTGCATCTCGACCAGCGCGCGCTGCTGGTCGTTCTCATCAGAGAAACGGACAAAGCCGTAACCGCGGCTCTGGCCCGACATGGCATCCGTCATGATCTTAGCAGACTTGCAAGAAGGGAAGCGAGCTTGGAAGAGAGAAACCAAGACATATTCGTTGACCTCTGGGCCGAGGTCGCCGACGAAGATGCTATATTCGGGGCCGCGATCGTCTCTGTTGTACCGCATTAGTATCGTTTTCGAGAGGAATTTAGAAAAGAAATGTGAGGATGCATGTGGCAAACGGGACGTTCTGGGCCTGACTAATAACCATGCTGGAGCTGGCCAAAGTGAACGTTGATGTGATGAGACAACAGCTCAAAGTGGGGCGCGAGTGCAGCGTGACTGCGCGCTCACCGCAAACGTGAAACAATTGAATGCCATTGAGCGTGGGTGATAGTACAAATGATGCGATTCGAGGGGATTGAGCGCGGCCGAGGCACTGGGGACAAATTGGGAGGGACTGTACATACCTGCGGTCAACCAAACCGCCGCCGGAAGCCCAGTTAAGCTTGAACTGGCGGGAGCTGTTAGGGACAGGGTTGCCATTCAGGCCAAGGGCCTTGGTGGCTGCGTCGGCGGTCTGGAACTCCACGAAGCAGTATCCGGCATTACTGATTTGTTAGCACTGGTTGGCAGGCGGAGAGCGGGTCAAAGAAAGGAGCGTACCCAGAGTTCTTGTCGCGGATGACCTTGACGTTGACGGTCTCGCCAGCAGCCGAGAGGAAGACACCCTTGATGAAGTTCTCGTCCATCCAGGGCTCGAGTTCACCCATCCACAAGGTAGTCTTGGCCTGATCCTGAGAAGAGCCGGTGGGAGGAGGGGCAGACATGTCGCCAGAAGGGGGAGTGCCGTTCGCGAAAGCCATCTGACCGTTGGAGGGGCCTCCGTTGGCAGAAGCAGCGCGGAAAGAAGGGTCAAGCTCCATGGTAATCTGGCGGGTCAGCATGGTCCAGGTATTGGATCCAAAGTACACACTGGTCAAGAAAGAAATGTCGAGAATCAAAAGTGCCGAGTGAGCGAGCGATCTGACGCGAGTTAGCGGTATTGCTGGAGGCAGTGAGCAAACGCGGTCGTACAAGAAAATAGTTGCCGAGAATGCTGAACTAGATGCAGATTGGTCGACAAAGTTGGCTAGAATTGTACACGCGGAGGGTCGTAAACTCTTGAGGCGAGAAACAAATCGTAATGTGCGTAGGGATCGAGGGAGCTGGTATCCGGACCGAAAAGCCGCGACACTGACAAGATGGTCGTACAGAGAATTCTGGCAAAGAAACCGCGACGCCGAGTGAAAAGAAGCAAGCAAATTGCTCTTCAAGACACGGAAGTAGGGAGAGAATGACAGAAGCAGGTTCCGACAAAGAGTCCCAAAAATGCAGACGTAAGTTCTACCGAAAATTCGCAACGAACGTGGTAAAACAGTTGGACGATGACGAAATGACGAGAACCTATAAAAAAGTGTGATTAGTACCGAAGAGTAGCGACAGTGGCCTGCATTTGCTTTGTTTGTGGTTCGTTTGCTGGTAGGAGCCTGGGTCCGTGATCCATCACGGCTGACGGGAACGCTGGAAGACGCGGGTCCAAGGGGGTTTGGCGATGGAGCCGCGGCTGTTCCTGCAGCAGCACCATCGAGAAGCGGAAAAAAGAGGAGCTGGCATTCGTTGGCAGAAAGTGACAAAAATTGGTGTGTTGGCTCCTTTGGCGAGCTCCACGGTTGTACGCGGCGACCCCTTGCATCCAACGCGGCCGGAGGCGGATGGATGAAAGCGGCAAATAGCTTTGCGACACGGACAATTTCGGGACTAATGCGCCATTGAGTGCGGCCAACGCGTGTGTAGGAGCAGAAGCGGCAAAGCCAACAGGCAACAAAGCTTGGTGGCAGCTGGCGAGCTGGAACCCAAAGTTTTGCAATTGTTATTTGGCAGCCGGGGGTAGAGGTCGGGCACGGCCACGTCATCCGGCCAGCCAGTCATCAGCCAGGGAGCTCGGGCGCAGGATAAGCATCGGGTACCGGTCGAAAGTCATCAAATGCATCAATTGCTGTGGTGGGATGGCATCGTCGAGGACCATTTTTGATGTCGCAGGCGCTAAGCGAAGTCTTTTTTTTACGCGACGTGTCGATGATATCGCGATTCGTTGAGGGGTAGGTCGGTAGAGTTTTCGAGGCGGCGCGCCAGGGAGCCACCAAGCGCACACCAGCAAAACAGAAAGGCCGCGAAGGCCGAAAAGCCCGAATGACAGAAATTGGGTTCATGTAGTAAACTTACTTTTAAGCGCCCGCAAAACAACCGTAAATCTCTTGACAATATCCGAAACACGCACAAGGGAAAACTCGCAGTAGCCTTGACGGAAGGGGAGGGGAAGGAAAAGATGTGGAAGGAAAGAGAAGGAAGGTTGCGCGAGGCAGCGAGCGAGGGAGGCAAGGGAATTATTAGTGAGGAAACTTTTTCGTGGTGCAGGCCTGCAGTGGTCTAGCGGGAGTAGCTGCTGGAAGGCAGTGAGGGGGGCGAGAGGAGGACCAGGCGTAGCGGAGAAGTTGGTGGTGTGAAGCTAGACCGCGTTGAGAAATGGGTTAGTGGGACAAAGAGAAGAAGAATAAAAAGAGAGGCTTATGCTGGGTCAAGTGGAGGAGAAAATCAAGCAAGCAGGAAATGGGCAGAGAAACTATTCGAGCGCGACGTATTTGTTGTTATTTGTATGAGGGCAAGGGAACAACAAAGGCAGCCATCGCGGTCCAAAGTGGCTGACAGTGGCTCAGCCTGGCTCACAGACATCACTGGCCAGTGAAACAACAGGCAAGCCTTGACAGGCCACGGTAACTCCAGTGGCTCGCAGTGGCGCTCATAGTGGTTGACAGTGCTGAAATAGCACTGCAGCCCCATCAGAACCCACTGTTGCACCAGCCACTCATGTGCTGACTTCGTCTGGCGCTGGCAGGGCGTAAAACCAGGCGTTGGGTTGGGAGGCTTCTTACCTCGTTCAAATAATACCCACAAGGATCGACCGGGGCAGCGCTGTTGCTTTTCTTGCTCAGTTTCGGCCAAGATGCTTGGGTTCGCTCGTTTGTCTGTTCGTGTTAGAAAATGTGTGCAGGTGTCAGACAGAGTACAGCGTCCACGTCCAAGACAGAAGACGCCTTTGTAAACGCCTTTGCTAGAACCGGCCGATTCTCTCACTTATTACTCACTGGGTTCCGCAGGTACGGTACGATACGGCAGTACGGATACGTAAAGAATCCTGCAATGCTGGCTGCACGACAGAGCAGCGTGTGGAGCGGGCTTGTGCGCGGTGACGGCCAGCAGGGTGCTTGGTGCCTGGTGGGCGGACGGATGTGAAGCAGCGCAACGCAATGCACGGATGCAATAGAGCAAATAAGTGCGAGTAGGCACGCAATAGACGACGGGGCAAATTGTAGCAATTGAAGCAGAATGGAAGAACTCAATCAAGCAAATTCACGATGCAAGAGCAGGAAACGGACGATGAGGGGACAAGGAACCGGCGGACCAGAAGCGGGCAGCCGAGAGCGCACGCCCGAGGCCACACAGATCAATTGGATGTACCTGATGCGAGCCGTGTGAGCCGTGTGAAATACAGTGCGTACAGACATATCGCGGGCAGACAAGGCAAACCAGTTGACTGATGCTTGCCGTGGCACAAGTGACTGCAACCACCACGGACCAGATATAGTGTGGTGTGAGCCCCATCGGTATCGACTAGTCAAGCCATCCAGACTCGGCGAGTAGCACCAGCATTCTGGACCTTCACCTAATAAACATGCTGATCAGTGCCGTCAGAGGCCTGAAGCAACTTTCAACAGTTCTTGCTTATTAGCAATGGTTCTGTCAGTATCTCATCCTTGACCGGGAATGGCTTAGCGGGTCATGACCCATATTGGACAACGCAAAACAGTACAAGTAACTGGTCAACTGGCAGATAACAACTCAGTTTACGAATAGTTAAATCGTACCGTAAATGCTTTTTCCTGCTGACGCCTCCGTTTGCAGTTCCTGGCATCATCCGTCATCATGCACATATGCATGCCCGTATCAACCCAAGCCACATTTGATAAACATCCAGCCAATCTCTAGCTCTTGTTGCCTTCCCGCCCAGGAGCCAATGATGACTCTGAAACACAAGTCAGGATTGTATCGCTGCATACCTACAAACAAGCCAGCTCAAGCACGCTCTGTGCTCGGGCCTGACAACATCATCGCCCGCAGGTAAAAATACGCCAGTTCAAAATTCCCTGTAAACAGCCATAAATAGCTCTTCTAAATTCACGTACCCAGAAAGGACGCAAAGTCTCCCACATGCGTGGCTGCTCGGCATAATTCGTGTTTCCAGTGGATCAGCCACCCCACCAGCCACCGACCAGCCCAGCCACAAGCCGGGTTACTTTTCACCGGCCCTCGCTTTTCTATCCACTCATCAATCTCCCTCCTCCCGTCGCTTCTTTAACATCTCGCTACCTACGCCACCACATTGAATGTTAGCAGCTTAATTCTTCCAGCAGCCTCCCTCACCTGCGCAATAAGGTGACGCTCTGCATCTGCACGCCACCAGGCACCAACTGGTGCATGGACTTGTTTCCTGCCTGCTTTCACCCACCAGTATCATGCAACCAACCCCAACAAAGCAAGCACTCCAAATGGCTCCAGCCAAGTCGTCCCGTCGTCCTTAAAGTTAGAGTTTGCACCAACCATGGCCTGAGAGCTTTCCATGGTTACTCTTACAAACACCCATCCATCCATGGCTTTTGCAGCACCTCCAGCCTCGGTGCCTAATCGGCCACAGTCTCGGTTATTGCTCACATTCCTGGTGGCTAATAATGGCACAACTTGTCCGCACGAGTTACCGCGCGTTCCACCTCGCAGCGAACCTTGCCAAATCTACCACGGTAGCCTTCATCACCACGGCCAATCCCGAGACATACACGTCTCTGGTCTTGCATTCCTGGCCTCTCTCCAGGCGCCATTCTTGCTTTTTGCTACCTCCTTGCAGTATACAAATTAAACTTCCTAAGCTGGGAAGTTCGAATCTGATAGGATGGTGAATGGCTCCATCGCCCTCATTACACCACCGACAATTAAACTTAAATCGCTTCCAAGCACCGAGACAGCCGATCTCTTCTAGTTTTCCATGCTCCAGCTGCACAAGCATTGTGCCACTGGGCTTGATAGCCTGCGTCCTTGTTACTGTTTTTTACTGTTGTGCCTAGGCAGAGACCTCAGCTGGGGCAGTCAGCTTCTTTACAGCTTCTTCACAGCTTCTTCACGTGCCTCTCTCCGCCGCACCGTTCTCCAACTCTCAACGCTGGTTTTGGCACAGTATACCAGGACTAGTTACCCGAATAGCAACTACCTGTATTCGCACAGGGCTCAGCCTGATTCGCAAGAGTCTTGCAACCCCTCATTCGGTGTGAGGTGCCGCACCCCTTGCAAAGCCCCTCATCAGCTCGTCCAACTACGCCGACAAGTAAAATCGCTCTCCAGGAGGCTGTGAATGTGGAGGACATATTATTAGTTAGTCTGACACCAAAATAGCGCTTCTGTTCCCCCGACTTGACTTGACTAGCTTTACCTGTATCGACCCTCTAGTCCGGAGCTGCAAGAATTTCCCTTATTCTGCTGCACCGTGTTTTCAGCTACAGGCAGCTTTACTTTCATACCGATGAATTCGCCCTCAACTGTCAGCATAGTATAGCGGCTGCTGGAAACGCGCTCGTATAGAGGCCCCCAAGCTTGCCCCCAAGCTTTTCATCTTGCATATTCGGTGCGGTGGGGTGTCGAGCTTTCCTGATGGTACCTGCTCAGGAGTTCATTGGCTCTTCGAGATCTAACTATCTCAAACTGACGTGCTATACCAAATGGGGTGCGAACTCTTTGTTGCCACAATCTGCTCATGCCAGCTAACGAAGGAGCCCGGGCTGCTAGTAACCATGGCCACAGCTAAAAAGCATGAATCTTGGCATCTTTGCGAACTCGACAGTCACAGTGGTCTGTAAGAAGGCGCAGATGGGAAGCTAATAAGCCTTCCGGTTCACTGCAAGGCAGATGATGCCATTTTTGGTTATGGGCCAAGAGCTTCGAACCGCAAATTCCGAGAAACCGCATAGCTCGGCCACCTACGTCTGAGCCTTTGGCAACAACTCTTCCGATCATTCTGTGTGAGACGAATGCCGCCATCGGTGCTGTATAGATGAACCAGCAGCAATTCTTAACTCATTTAAAAGAAAACGGTGTTCCCACAGAGTTAATCAATTAATCATTGCTGTGCACATTGCTGCGTAGTAACAACCCCGGCCTTGCGATCCTGAGCCTGCTTAGTCAGGAATTCCATGTCGTAAACGTTGTCGCCTGGCAGGCCGCAGCGGTCTACATCATCCAGAGGTCGGGTTACTTGCGGCATCTCAAGCATTTGTAACGTAAAAAGGTACTTGCGCAACCTATTTTTTTCATCTACAATCTCTCAAGTGCGTATCATGTTGTACGAATCGCCGCACGATTCTGTTTAAAATTGGCTTCCAGTTCACCTCCACGCAAACAGCAGCCATACCAGGATCGTGATGGCTGAGCCGTCGCCGGAGCAAAAGGAGCTACGACTGGTCGAGAGTGTCGAGTTCAAAATATTAAACGTCGCCAACAAGGAGCAGAAGCTTCACGAGCTGCTACAACGCTTCCTAGCGCCATTGATATTAAAAGCCGCCAGCGACCATGCCAGTGTCCGGGCAAAGGTATGACGGTTTCGCCATACTATAAGCACAAACGGTTAACATAGCGCAAGGTTATTAAAACATTGGCACTTCTGAAAACCTTCATTCAGCCACCGCAGTATGTACTCGCGTCGATGTGACTGGAGAATGCATTTGCTTACCCCTTCACAGAGTTGTCTTGCCCGTCAAGGCACTTCTGCAACAGTACAGAACAACTGACTCCGCCGTTATCAAGCAGCTGGATCTCCCATTTATCTTGCACAGTCTTGACAGAACTGATGTGGAAGATCGGCGTCATCTCCTACCCATCGCGCTCAAGGGCCTCGCGGCGGACGAGAATCAGCCCCGAGCAGCAACCATTCTCAATATCATCCTCCGGCTGATCTTGGATGTGAGAATACCACCACGCGGCAGCAAAGACGATGAAGCTTTCAGAAACGCGCTCGGTCTTGACGATCCGGCTGACGCAAAGTATTTGGCTTATTTGCTCGGCGTCTTTCTGCGCCTGCGGGCGGCCTCGGGCTCCCAGACGCTGGCCCAATCCAACCCAACGCTTTCAAGCACCGAGCTGGCTCTATTTCCGCCTGAAAGCCCAGACACGGAAAATCTGTTTCGTCGCATAACTGAGCTCCGGGTCAAGGTCGTCACTCTTCTCGCGAGCGCTGCCTTTACGGATGAAGAAAAATTCCTGCCGGCCCTATACTCTGCTGGTAGCTTTGACGGTAGAGTGGCTTCCACCGGCGAGGAGATCATCAAGAGGAGCTCGGTGTCCTTGGAGGACAGGCAGCTCGTTGAGCGGCTGTTTTCCGCCCATGCCCTACTCCCTGCCGCCAATCGCACGCGAATCCTCGGCATGCTGTCCAAGTCGGCCATTTCAACGACCATGACGGATGGTATCATGAGAGTCGTGACCCTCGACTTCCTGCCTCCAGAAGAGGGATCACCACCAAACGCATTGCAGCCATCCAGCACCCTCGAGCGAACCAAACTTCACAAGGCTTTATTCCAATACTTGTCTTGGGTCGCCCAGATTGGCCCGTCTAAACCTGGCTTCACCATTGGGCCACAGCTGATTCAAAAGATGCGAGAATATGTTGAAAGCCAGGGATGGCCCGTTGCCTCGTCTCGTACCACTGATGACATCAACCTACGGTCGCGTGCCTATGAAACAATCGGCCTGCTGGCACGCAGCGCGGACATGCCAACCGATGACAAGCTTGACCTTGCTGCCTGGCTCTTTCGTACCTTGTCAGAGGACTCAACAAATGATGCCATTGTCAACATTGATGGCGCTCTTTCCAGCCTGACTGCGAATATTGACCCCAGCACTACGGCCGATAACTCGATGCTCAGGACTATGCTTCTCACCTATATGTCGCTCCCTCTCGAGCCACCAGTCGTTCGCAGCACACGGCATGCCGTGGTCAAATGGGCAAATCAATGCCTTCCCTTCTCCGATATACACGCCAGATGGATCGATATCCTGGCAGTTGCAGGCCAATACGGCGAGCGAAATGATGTTATTGAGCAGGGACACAAGGGTCTTGACCCTTGGACGTATTTTGCTCACAGCCAGGTCAATGCGAAAATGCCTAGCTGGAGACATATGATGGTTGCATATTTCGATACACTTATCGAGCCAGCGCCTGCGCCCGTCAAAGAATCCGTCGATGGGCTGCCGATCTTACCAGCCCGTCCGGTATTTCAAAACTTCCACGGTTCGCGAGTTCCTGCCTTCCCGGTCGCTTTGAAGTATTGCAAGAACCTCATGTTTCTTTCGGCACTGGACGATTTTGCCGTCCAGCCGGACTGGATGCAAGCTTTGAATGCCCAGCTGAAGAACGACATCATGACTCAAAATCAAGTCCGCGCCTATTTGCAAAAGGTCGAGCCAAAAGACCTCGTCTTCTATCTCCAGACATGCCTCGACGGCGCGTTTGCCGAAGACTCCCCCATCGTGGAGGACTGCATACGTTGCTTTGTTGAAGTGGCGTCGCTCGCCCAGGCCGAGACTATCGGTCAGCTCACGGGGCAGACGATGAGTTTACTTCCTCTGATTAAGTCGAACAATCGAGAAGTTAGGACACTGGCGGCTAAGGCCACTGGCATACTGGCCGCTCACCCCGTGAACGGTGCTGACGCCGTCTCCAACTTCTGCATCACGTTGCACAGCTTCTTTGACAATGCGCAGAAAAAAGCAGGCCCTGACCTAAACGCTGCAGAGGGTGCGTTGATGGCCTTTGGTCACCTGCAGTCCCGCTGCGTCTATTATGACCGTGAGCTTCCGGAAACAACATATCCTTTGTGCTATCTGGCAGATGAGTCCACACCGGCTTCACTGTTCGAGGCCGCTCTCGATGCGTTTGCGCAGCTGTGGTCTGCTAAACTGTCTGTGCCTTTGCCGACGGGGGATCATAGCTTAGAGATCATTATCAAAAGGCTATCAGCACAAGCTAAGAAGGGCAATGAGCGTGCCATTGCCGGTTTGGGTCGCCTAGCCTCTGCCATCGACGCTAACCAGACAGAAAATACAAGCGTTGTGACTTCAGAATGGGAACAGGGCACGTTGGGTGCTATTCTTAAGGGCCTATTTGCTCTTCATGAACTGAAGCAGGTTGAGATTCACTTCACTGTGGGAGAAGCCATTACGGCGGCCGTTGGTAGATGGGACTCGGACCAGATCAAGTTGGGGATGGATGTCGAGTGCCATGGTCATCAATTCCAACGGAAAGCTTTGGGTTCCGTTATCGCTGCAGTTCTTATGAAGCTTTTCGCAGACTGCAAAGGCACCAAACCTTCTCTGCTCAAAGCGTCCGGTATCTGGCTGTTCTGCATTGTTCAGTACTGCTCCCATGTCGAGCAGGTGCAGTCTCGGCTGCGAGAAACTCAAAGCGCCTTCATGCGATTACTGAATGCGCGCGACGAGCTTGTGCAGGAGACAGCTTCCCGCGGCTTGTCTCTCGTCTATGAGAGAGGTGATGCTGATCTCAAGTCTGCGCTGGTTAAGGACCTCGTGGCGGCTTTTACGGGCTCTGGCACACAGCTCAAGGTGGAAGAGGATACGGAGCTGTTTGAGCCTGGCGCTCTGCCCACCGGTGAAGGCAACTCTGTTACGTCATACAAGGATATCGTCAACCTCGCAAATGAAGTTGGCGACCAGCGCCTGGTGTACAAGTTCATGTCCCTTGCTGCCAACGCCGCAACCTGGTCTACACGCTCCGCTTTTGGCCGCTTTGGTCTGAGCAACATCTTGTCAGAGTCTGAAGTTGACCCAAAGCTGTATCCAAAGCTCTACAGATACAGGTTCGATCCGAATTCTAATGTCCAAAGGTCCATGGACGATATTTGGAAGTCTCTTATCAAGGACTCGAACGCGACCATTGACCAGCATTTCGAAGCCATCATGGAAGACCTACTGAAGAGCATCCTTGGTCGCGAGTGGCGGATGCGTGAAGCCAGCTGCGCCGCTATCGCCGAACTCGTCCACGGCCGCCCATTCGTGCAGTACGAGAAGTATTATCGGGACATTTGGACCGCTGCGCTCAAAGTCCTCGATGACGTCAAGGGCAGTGTGCGTGAGGCGGCACTCAAGCTCTGCATGGGGTTGTCCAACGGTCTTGTACGCCAATTGGAAGAGAGCAACCACAGTGTCGCTGCCAAGGCAATGATGGGAGAGGCGCTTCCCTTCTTGCTGTCCGAAAAGGGTATCGAGAATTCCGTGCAAGAGGTGCAAATCTTTGCGACGATTACCGTCATGAAGATTTGCAAGCATGGCGGCGTGTCTCTGCGCCCATTCATCCCGGAGATTGTCTCCCACATGCTGGGTTTGTTGAGTACAATCGAGCCGCAGCAGATCAATTACCACTACCAGCGCGCCGGTGAAGAAAGCCGCGATCAGATTGACAAGTTGCGCTCGCAAATGGTCAACCAGTCGCCTATTTCCGAGGCCATCGAGAACAGTCTGCGGTTTGTTGATGCTGATGTCATGCTACAGCTGGCCCCAAGGCTGGAGGCGACGATCAAGACCGCCATCGGTATGCCGACCAAGATTGGGTGCAGTCGCGTGCTGACGACACTGTTTACGCGACACACCAGCGACATCAAGCCGTTGTCGAGCAAGTTCCTGAAACTACTCGAAAAGCAAACCCTGGATAAGAATGACGAGGTCAGCCAAGCATACGCCAGAGCGGCCGCTTACATCATGAGGGCGGTGGAGGACGCTGATCGCCAGCGCTTCTGCAGTGGTCTGGTAGAGCTGTACTTTAATGGCGAGGACGAAAGTCGCCGCCAAAAAGTATCCGACGTCGTTGTATCGCTGGCCAAGATTTCACCTGATCACTTCTCCAGCCAAGAAGCGGACCTGCTGCCTTTTGCCTATCTCGGATCTCACGATACGGACGAGTACGCGAGCAAGGTTTTCAAGGAGGTCTGGAGCCAACACGCTGGCAGCAGCCGCACCGTCATGCGGTACGTGCCCGAGATTGTCGCGCTAGTCGAGCGCTGCCTCGCAACGACGCAATGGGCGCTCCGGCACACCGGCGCCTTTACAATCGCGGCCGCGATCTCCGATGTTGCGAGCGCCACCGAAATGACAGGGGGCATCGGCGAGCCCAACTGCAAGGCTCTCTGGCCGTCCTTCGACAAGGCGCTGGCCCTTAAGACATTCCCCGGCAAGGAGAAGGTGCTCTCGTCGTTTCCAAAGTTTGTCAAGAGCAGTCAGGCATTCTGGAAGGGCAACGAGCAAGTCTCGGCGCAAATGAAAAAGATTTCGATCCGCGAAGCGAAGCGCAACAACGACGAGTACCGCCCGCACGCGTTTCACAGTCTCTGGGAGTTTGCGCAAGCGAGAAGCGATCTGGATCTCCTGAGCGAAATCGCGGACATTGTGACGCCGTATTTGGACACGCTGACGGACGAGGACAAGATGGAGGTGGATTCCAAGGAGGACAAGGGCGCGGACACGGCGCGCAACGGCTTCGAGGCCATTGCGCGCGGCTACACGCGCTCGCCGTCGCGGGACGTGGCGGCCGTCGCTGCAGCCGTGCTCAAGACGCTGCAGCCGTACCTGGCGCACGACAAGTTCGGCGCCATCAAGCGCGAGGTCTGGTACAAGTGCGTCGCGGACATGATGGCGGAAGCGACCGCGGACCTCAAGACCGGCGCCACAACGGACGCGGACGGCGGCGCGGCTACTACACTGACAGAGTACTTGGATAGCCTGGACCTGGAAAGGGTGGAGACGGGGACGCACCCGCAGCGCAACCAGCGCATCGAGGCCGTGGCGGCGGCACTCAAGGCTCGTGAGGCGGGCGTGTTCGGGGCGGGGGCGGGAGCGGCAGAGGGAAAGAAGCTGAGGGAGATGGTGGAACGGGCGGTGCAGGAGGAGAGGGCGATGGATCTGCAGCGGGCGTGGAGGAAGATCTTGGAGGAGCTAGCTTAGGTGTGAATGTCGATACAACTACTACATCACTGGCATTAAATCATGATCTTGATCACTATTGTTGCTATTCATACTCTAACAGACAGCAGTAGGGTCAGGCGGTTTAGCTGGGCAGAGCTGCACAGCGGCTACAGCTCCTCGTTGCCCTCGTCCGCGGACCAGGGTCGGCGGCGGCGCTCGTCGTCAAGCACGACGCGGTCAAAGTTGCGGATCAAGTCGTAGTAGAAGCCGAGCATCTTCATGTGCTCGCGCATATCGACGCGCTCGTCGATGGTGTGGACGCCGGCGCTGGAGCCGACCTTGGCCGGAGTGAAGCGGTAGATGTTGGGACTGAGGTCTGGTGGCGGACGTTAGAGGCTGCATTCTGCAGTGCAAAGGAGGGCGAGAACATGGCGAGAGATTGTACTTACCCAGGTAGTGGCGTGTGTCCGTGTTGCCGGTCATGATCTCGCCGACGGGGACGACGGTGCCGTCGAAGCGCAGCGAGTGCCGCGCGGAGCCAGCAAAGGTGTCCCAGACCTTGCCGCTCATCGGCGAGACGGAGACCGGCTCCGAGACCTGGTCGGCGCGGATGCTGATCTTACCGGCGCCGCCCACGCGGGTGACGCCCGGGTGGTACTTCCCGCCGTCGTGCTCGAAGGCGGACAGCGAAAGGTTGCGCCTCTCCACGATGGGCTCGATGAGCTTCACAACGCGGTGCATGACCGCGTCGATGCCGTCGTCGCGGGTGACGCGGTAGTTGACGCCGAGCGTGACCTTCTCGGGCAGCGCGTTGATCTTGCCGCCGCCGAAGATGATGTCGACGGCCTGTGAGGTGCGCACACTGAACGGGTGAGCGCCGGAGGCTTCAGCGCCGCCGGCGGCGAGAAGCTCCGCGAGGCCGTCGAGGTCGCCGGCGTGCACGAGCCGGGTGACGTCGGGAATCTCGTCGGGGGAGTACCGGGCGATGCAGGCCAGGTGCGCCCACGTGGGGCTCTCCCTGGTCATGACGGGCTCGTACGGGTTGGCTTCGAGCTCGGAGACGAGCTCGGACATGATGCCGATGGCGGTGTTTGGTGGCGGCACGGAGCTGTGGCCGCCGCCGACCTCGAGGTCGAACCAGACGTCGAGGTAGCCCTTCTCGGCGACCGCCGGCAGCACGTACACGACGTCGCCTAGGTCCTGAACACCGAGGCCGCCCTCGTCGAGGATGATGGCCACGCCTTCCTCGCCGTAGCGGTCCATCAGCACCTCGTTGATGCGCGCGGCGCCGCGGTACCCGGAGCACTCCTCGTCGAAGCCGGCGGCGAGCACCACGGTGCGGCGCGGGCGCCAGGGCACCTGCGTCAGCATCACCTCGAGCGTGGTCAGCAGCGCGGTCAGGCTGTTCTTGTCGTCGCTGGCGCCGCGGCCCCAGAGGAACTGGCCGTCATAGTAGCCCTCAAAGGGAGGGTAGGTCCAGGCGTCCTCGTCCTGGACGGGGACGACGTCCTGGTGGGCGGTTAGGAGGATGGGCTTGAGCGAGGGGTCGGCGCCGGGGACGGTGTAGACCAGGCCATACTTATTAATGCGCTCGACTTTGGCGTAGTTGTGCCTGTCAAATATGTTAGCCAAGGTTCGGGAGTGAGGGGGGGCAAACGTACAGGGCGGGATAGGTCCGGCGGAGGACGCGGTGAAGCTCATCAAAGGGCGCCCAGCGCGGGTCCTCACCGATGGGACCGAGATCATCGTAGCACACGGAAGGAACACGTACGATGGCCTGGTGACGCTCGACTTGGCGCTGCAGCGCCCAACGGTTGCCCCAGAGCTGGTCACTGTTGGGGAGGCCGTCGGCGGAGGGGTCGAGGACCGGGGGCAGCCGGCACTCGTCGACGTCCGAGGTGACGGAGGCGGCAAGCGCGTTGTTATCTTTGTCGTGGACGGCGCGGGCCGAGGTCGGGGCCACGAGAGCGGCGGCCAGGCTGCCGGCCAGCAAGACGAGTTTGGAAAGGGCCATGGCGCTTGTGTGCAAGATTCGCAGAGGAAAATTGACTTGCGGAGGATACAGCAAAAGATGGATAGATGAGCCCAGTCTTAAATATGTAGTGAATGCGGGGGAATATCTTCAGCTTTTGTTTCGGGACAAGGTGTCGTACTGCAGACGCGGTCTCGGCAAGCAGCACGGCGTGGCTTGGAAGCTCCGTGCACGGCCGGGTAGGCGACCCGGCCGGTCCCCAGTTGCCGATGGGGCGGCAAGACCAACATGGTGAAGACCAGCGACACGGCCGGTCGTATCACTCAAAGGGCTGGTATCGTCGGGGGTTGATCTGATATCCGATGGGATGCTTGATGCTGCAGGCACATGCATCGGCACATGCACATGCACCGGCACATGCAAGCCCGACAATCTTTCATGTTGGGAGCAGGGCGAAGGGCGGGATGAGAACGGTAGTTGCGTCCGCAACGAACGAAGCTATCATCAGAGACAATTCGATGCAGTGTAATTCGTATGATTATACAGAAGGGAAGGACTACATAGGTAGCTAGCTAGGGACAGTTATGATGGAAGAGGCAGGCAGGTAGGTACAGTATGTGGCAATGCGGCAGGCGGCCCGCCACCAGCAGGAAGGAGCTACCCTGGAGGTAGAAGCACTTTTCCCTGGCCGGAACCGGAGACTGCCGCTTCCCAGCGAATGGGAAGAGCGTGCAAAGGGACGAGTTAGTACGGGAGTACAGATACAGATTAATGAATACAATGTTTCAACACGGAGAGAGCCTTTCCCGCGTCAATACTTGCTTTGTGCGGCATGCACCTCAATGGCGCCCTGCCCTGCTGTGGGATAGAGTTCAGGGCGCAGTCTCCGAGACACCGGCGTCAGCATCTGCAGCCAAACACCAAAGAGGCGAGTACACCAAAGAGGCGAGTACACCGAAGATCACAGCAGGTGGAAAATTCAGCTCGCGGATTATTAAACCGCCAGGAAAGCTGCTGGTAGCTAGATGCTGATAAGGGGGGCATGTCAAGGCCGACCGCGAACGGGGATAACTAGGCCGGACACGTCGGAAGCAACTGGCTGGGATATGATATCATCGCTCGCCTCGCCAATAGGCGAAAAGACTGGGCAAGGGCGGCCACGACGAGCAGCGCCTCTTCCGTTGTCCGCGGACTCTCTCTTCTTAAAACCCGTGGCCAGGCTCATAGTGAGGAATTATTCGACCTGCCGGAGCTTTCATCTTTGCAATATTTTTTTTTTGCATTAAATAAGATGATAAAGAAGCACTGCACGATCGCGTCGTCCATCTCCTGCATGCCCATCACCAGTGAAACCATCGAGATGGTGGTTCGGCCGACGCTAATAGCAATAACGCTTACAACGTTCTCGGCCGGGTCAACACACCAAGTCTACAGGGAATTGTCCGCGGGTTGGTTGTGAGCTAGCGTGTTAGTATGTGTTGGTATTTGAAATCGACAGTGAATCGGCGGATGACGACACCAAGCGCTTGTGGGAAATGGTCGGTGCCATCTTACATCCAAGAGATCTCGCGTCCAAGTCGGCCTGCAAGACTCCGCGATTTGACGCCCTAGACCATCTAAATACCATTGTCCTTGCCCATCTCGCATCCGAGACATTCTATTCTTTTGACACACACGCTCTCGATGGAGCCATGATTGGCAGTCTCGCACCACCACCACCACCACCATCTCAGCCCGTGTAAGTGCATGCAGCCGCCTGCATCACGATCCGACAGCATCCCCCCCCTCATATCTCCATCGGACCTCGTCCACCCAGCCATCATCATGCAGTCCCTCAGCCGCTTCTTCTCCTCCGCGACCAACAAACCCATCAGAACCGCCCACCTCACCTCCACCGAGCCGCCCTTCCTCAACGCCGCCGGCTACGTCGACTTCGCCCCCTCCGACCCGGAGAATCCCATGAACTGGTCCGTCCCCCGGCGGGCCTCCATCTCCGCCGTCTCCGTTCTGCTCGTCCTCAACGCCACCATGGCCTCCTCCGCCCCCAGCGCCGTCACCGCCTCCCTCACCGCCCACTTCCGCGTCTCCCCCGAAGTCTCCGCGCTCACCGTCACCCTCTTCCTGCTCGGCTACTGCGCCGGGCCCTTGCTCTTCGCGCCCCTCAGCGAGTTCTACGGCCGCCGCCTCATCTTCGTCCTCACTTTCGCCGGGTACCTCGCCTTCTCCTTCCTGACCGCGTGGCCGCCCAACTTTGCCGCGCTGCTGGTCGGCAGGTTCCTGACGGGCACGTTCGCGTCGGCGCCGCTGAGCAACGCGCCGGGCGTGCTGGTTGACCTCTGGAACCCGGTGCATCGGGCCACGGCGTTTGCGTGCTTCTCTACCATGGTGTGGATCGGCCCGGCGGTCGGGCCGGTGCTGGCGGGCTTCCTGCAGCTGACCGAGGGCGGGGAGGGCTGGCGCTGGTGCTTCTGGGTGCTGCTGTGGCTGGCCGCGGGCACGATGCTGCTGGTCATCACCATCCCGGAGACGTACCCGCCGGTGCTGCTGATGCGCAAGGCGCAGCGCGCGCGGAGGAACGGACACGACGTCAAGGCGCAGATTGAGGATTCGGACCGGTCCCTGGCCGGTGCGTACCGGGTCGCCCTCACCAGACCGTGGATCATCCTGTTCGACACGATATCACTGCTGTGCGCGGTGTACCTCGCGGTCGTGTACATGCTGCTCTACATGCTCTTCTCCATCTACCCGATCGTCTTCCAGGAGATGCGCGGCTGGAACCCGGGTGTCGGCGAGCTCCCGCTGCTCGGCACCGCGGTCGGAGCGGCATGTGGTGGCGCCGTCGTGGCCTTTGATGCGCACCTCCGCCAGCGAAAGATTGCCTCCGAAAAGCTGAAAATGGAAGACCTCACGCCCGAAGACCGCCTGCCGCTGGCCATGGTTGGCGGCATCGGCTTCTGCATCGGCATGTTCTGGCTCGCGTGGTCCGCCAACTACAAGTAAGCATGCATCTCTCTCTACGCATCCCCCTCCGGATGTCCAGTACTGACCTCCGATAACAGCTCCGTCCACTGGATCGTCCCGACCATCGGCGGCGGCGTCCTCTCCGCAAACATGCTCCTCGTCTTCGTCGCCTACTTCAACTACCTCGTCGACGTCTACCTCATCTACGCCGCTTCCGCGCTCGCCGCCAACACCGTCGTGCGCTCCGCCGGCGGCGCCGCGGCGCCCCTCTTCACACGCCAGATGTTCTCGGCCATGGGCGTCGGCGGCGGCGGATCCCTAGTCGGCGGTGTCGGCGCGCTGCTCGCCGTCATACCCTTCCTGTTCTACAAGTACGGGCCGCAGATCCGCGCGCGGAGCAAGTTCTCCCCGACGGGCGAGAAGGCGGCGCCCAAGGGGCCGGGGGAGGAGGAGCCGAAGCAGCAGCAGGGTGGCAGGTTCGAGGACGTGGCGGACGAGGAGACGGCGCTGGAGACGACGTCCAACGAGGGCTCGAATTGTGGCCGAAAATGATGAGAGAAGTGGTGGTAGCGCTGGAGTTGATTTATTGGATAGAGCCGTGATGGTAAGCAGACATACTTGTATCATCACGGGGTGTAAAAAGTACACTAAGATAAAGCACATCTAAATTAGTTTAATATATACAGGAATAGATAATAATACTTCTTACAATTGGGGGTCTCGAGGCCCGACAGCACGAGCACACAGCATTGGCTGTACATTTACCAACAGATTCTGACTACAATATTGTATTGTTGGTTAGTCCAAGGGCAACCGTGTTTTAGTATTGGCGGCGACAAAGCTCCGTTTTTTTGCCAGACTTGCGTCTCCTGTGATCCTGCATACCTGCGGGTTCCGATGTTCGTACTTGGCGACCGCATGTCAAGCAACAGGGCAATTTTCGGAGTCTGTGACGCACCTAGGATTGAGAGGCGCGATCACGACTACATCTTATTGTCTGAAACAAGGTATTTGCTTTCCAATATCGAAAGACACTCTAAATCGACGATTGAGATTGACCTCGGCAAGCTCCCCTTTCCATTCCGCGCTCCTGCACCACCACCTCGCAACTGGCCTGGTGGCCCTACTTCTGCTCTGAAAATCAGGCCTTGCATCTGCGACGGCCCATTCTCCATGGCGCCCAGCGATAAAAAGGACACACGCAGAGCAGGCAAAAACGAACCGATTCCTGGGTGCGGTGCTGTGAGTCTGGTCTGAGGCGGGCAGCATGATGAGCCCCTGCCTCTCCTCGCCCGGGTGTGTCAAAGGCGACAACGAGTAGTCAACTGCGAATTCAATTCCGCGCTGTGTTTCGAAACCCGACCTGTCTTCTCTCACATTCTACTTTTTTACGTAGCTGTGATCAGTTTCATCGGATTCACTCCCCCCTAAGCTTTCGCGATGAAACATGTCCCGCACCGTTTCCTCGCACTCCACAGCCTTCATGCAGCCCGTTGAGAGAACAAGACGCTGGAATGCCGCGTCATTCTGGGCCTTGTTTCCTTGACTGATGAAAAAAGCTTGACTGTAGCATCCCTGCGGTCGCATTTCAAAGAGGAAACTAGCTTGATTCGCAGTGGCTCTTCTCTTCATGTTCAAATCAACTTGCCAATCAAGACACCCAAAAGAGCCATGATTGCGTGATTAACATGATCCAATTGAAATATGTTCCGGTGATTTCTCAAAAAAACCCGCCTCATTGAAATCGTCATCGTCCGGGCGTACAAAAACTCTGCGTCATCCCATCCCATCCCATCCCTCCTCGTCATCCCACCTCCGACGGCGTCACCAGCCCATCATGCGCCACGTCTACAGCCAGTGAATTGCACCGAAACTCCCCGTCATCTGTACCAAGGCTAATCAATGCCTGACATGGACGGAGGAAGAAGAAAAGTCATCGTCGTGTAAGTGGCTGGTGTCAAACTGAGACAACATTCCAGTCCTGGTCAGACATCGGACGTCGGTGGGCGGCGGCACGGTTACATTCTTCACCCGATCGCCGCCTCCACCACCACTCCGTACAGATTCCTAGTTCCGTGAGGAGCTTTACCTAGAGCTTGGTTGTCTCAGTCGTGACCTCCTTTGGGATAGCTTCAGCCACGTGGTGATGCAATCCAGCAAGAAGAGGTGCAGCAGGCAGGAGAAGAAAAAAAGAGCTAAGCTAGCTCACGTCGAAAATCCCCGTCATATGCGGGAGCGAAATGTCCCGATCCTCTGGCAAAATTGTGCGAGGTATGCTGCTTGATATGCCGCAGATGAGAATCCCCCCAAGGGCTAGGCAGATTGCAAACACGATGATGATGTATGGGTATCATGGTTGTTAAGTATCATTAAGGTGTCGATGTATATACCCTCTCTATTCCACTGCGTCTATTGTCGCGCTGCCTCAAGAAAGTCGTAAAGTAAACACGTAAAAAAAAGACAAACGCCAAAATCCTTTTACCTGACAAATTGTCAATAAAAATAAAACGCCGAAATATGAATCGCTGTTTTCTGCCGCCATCGTCCCCTGTTGAATAAAGAAATAATACTCAGCTCAGCTAAAAGCTGAACAGGCCGCTGCGGCGTTTGCCGAGCGGGTAAACAATCAGGGCACTCATAAAGAGGCCCACGCTGAGAGAAATGGCAACCTGAATCACAAGGAACAGCACGTTGAAAGCTGTGCCGTCCATGCTCCCCAGGGTGCCCGGCGAGGTCTTGATCGTCGTCGTGTTGCCGGTCGCCTCGTTCGCGGAGGTGATGCCGGCGAGGAGCGAGCCACCGGCCGCAAGACCAGACGGGACTTGCACAAAAATGGCCGGCAGCATGGCTGCCGCGGCAAGGCTGTAGCCTACACTTCGTCTGCTCTCCTGCTTCTCCTTGGCAATGGCGCTGCTCGTCGCCGATTCCGCATCCGAGATCGACCCTGTCCATAGGTTGGACCTGTTGCTGCGCCTGCTGAAGTAGCGACGCGTCACGTTCTTCCTCCACCAATCGGTAAAATCCAGCCAGATGTTGTCTGCGTGTCGGCCCAGGCGCGAGTACAAGTTGGCAAGGATACCGACAGTCAGCGCGCCCAACATGTTGGAGATTTGCCCGCTGCCCTTGAAGTAGAGGCTAGTGTAGCTGTTGACCGCATAGCCCGCGACGGCCATGACCAGCATGGCAGGGATCTGCCGCCATTTTGCCTGGTTGACGATGCACAGACACAATGTGAAGCAGGGAACGAAAAACATGTACCACCCTCGATCGAGTGGGTTGGAACAGTGTGTCTCGCTGGCTGCGTTGGAGTCCATCATGCCATAGAGGGTAGCTCCGATGGTGATTCCATATCCTAGGAATAAAGTGTAGATGAGAGCATACACCATGCGAACCCCGCCCGCAACAAGGTTGTGACTCTGAAGCTCCAGGGAGGCGCACAGCACAATGTAACCGGGAAGAATGAGCGCAATACTGCTCTGGGCGAGAGCCGAAAAACAAAAGAGCTGTCCGTTGTTGATGGAGCCAAAGCCCCGAGCGATAAACGAAGTGATGATGGAAGCCGAGACCTCGAAGACGTGCGCATACAGTTCATTGCTTGGTGCAAAGACCAGCTGAAGGATGCCGACGATGCAGCCGAGGATGAAGGCACAAGGTAAGTCGATGAAGCGGCCTTCGAACGCAAAGGGAGCGACACTGGCTGATGCAACGCCGTACATGATGATCCGGAACCAGATGGGGAACTTGGCGTCGCTGGTGATGACTTCATCGAGGTGCTTCGCTGCATCCTCGACCCCGAGTTTGTCATGTACCACGTGCTTGTAAATGTTGTGCACGTCGCGAAGCTTGCCCAGGTCGATACCCTGTGGCACACGAACAAGCTTGACCTCGGTCGTGTGGGTGGAGCTGTCATCGAATGAGATGATCATACATGAAGGCAGATACAAAAACTGACTTTCAATCTCGAGGACGCGAGCTGACATGGTCATGTACTCTTCGAGCCGATGGGTAGGGGCACCGTACATCATGAGAGCCCGGCATAGCTTCATGAGATACCGGTGACGGGCGATGGTTCCGGCAATATGAACAGTGATGCGGGCCTGCTCCTTTTTCGGCTTGAGCGGCTTCTCCTTCTTGATTTTGTGCTCCCATTGGTCGGATATTTGACGGGACACGGGTACGGCGAGCATGGAGGATGATTTGAGCAGCTCGTTCAAGGCGAGCGAAGAGGTCGACGACTGCGACTTGTGATAGGAAAAGAGATTCTTGCTGTGATCAAATTTGCTGCTTCCTGCGGTGGATGGTCGTCTGGAGTGAGATGGCGAGGAGCGCGGGGACATGACGGGGGTTGTTGCGGTTGAGCTGAAATCGATGCCGTGGCCACTCGCGTTCTGTCCTTTATCATTTTGGTAGAGCTTCAGCAGCGATGAAAGGATACCGCCACGATACTGTGTCGGGCGAGGCACATAGTCCTGATCTTCGGTGGTGATGGGTGTAAAGGTGCCGGAGCTGGAAGACTTATGGTGTCGGTGGAAGAAGTCGGTCCCCGTGTTAGTTCTCATGGCGTGAGACAGCACCAGCGATTCTGCGACATTGAGATGGTCCAGAGACGAGTACGGGGTGCGGTGTCTGATGGAGCCGTTAGGTGCCTGTGAACCGTCATAACCCAGCCGCTCATCCAGATCATCGAGGAAGGACTGGAATGTAGCATTGGAGTCGAGCGATCCACGCTTAGACACAGGTGACGAGTACCCTCCCACAGACATGGCCAGACGATCAGCCCGCTGCCGTGCGTCGGTGATGGATCGAACCTGACGCTGACTGGCCTTTTGCTCTGCGAGGTCGGCCTCCTCGCGCTCTTTGGGAGCATCGTAGCTAGTGTTACGACGCAGGGCAGGTCTCGGGGGCCGAACAAGGTTCGGGGTCTGTGCAGCCGGGATTTGGGGGGAGGTGTCACCGTCCCAGGGCGTCTTGCTCTCGGGAGCGGGCTGCTGATCCTTTTCCGAGAGGATCTTGGTCAACGCAATGGCGAGCTCCTGGGCATCCGGCGCTCCGGGCTGTGCCGTGCCTTGGACAGAAGGTGTGGAATTGTTGGAGACCTGGTCGGGGAGTAACAGTGCGGCATCCTTGGAAGAGGAGACACCAGCAAAGCTGCCACTGGCAGAATGCCAACCAACACGCTTCTTGCCCTTGCGGGCAGCGCCCAGGCTGTCACCAGAAGTCGGGGGGATGCTGGCCTCGTAGGGTGGTGGTGATGGCTGTGGTAGTGGTGTCGCCATGATCGTTGACGCTAGTGTTGGTGATTCTTGCAACCAAGACAAGGTCTCACCCTCTGCGAGAGAGAGTGAAGAAAGCGTTCGTAAGGTGGCATGAGGAGGAAAGGAGCGAGCAGAGTCCCGGACCACAGACATATAGCTTAGCTAAAGACAAATAAATCGGGTCGCTGAGAAATGCAACGAAACTGTCGGACACGATCGAGAGACCACAGTAGGCCGAAGTCGCATATCGCATAGTGGTGGGGGTGGCAGGGACCAAGAGCATACCACTGCGAGTTCAGGGCGAACCAGGAGTCAAACAAAAGTTTTCTCGTGTCTGTCTGGTCAAATCAGCGGCACTGCCTCTGACGGTTCCATCTTTTCTTTCCGCAGAATTTGCCATTATCGGTCGTGCCTGGGCTCTGTGGATTTTTGCTTCAAAGCCTAATTACCGTGACAGTCGGTCGCGCGGGCGGCAGACCGATAGTGGTGGTGCCTGCTGGCGGCCCAATTGGACGAGGACATGGTTGCGAGTCGGTGCTAATAAAAAATCTTTGATAGCAGAAGAGTGGGCTCTGTTTCCGCTCTTTTTCTCTTCCCTCACGCCTTCGAACCGTCGTGGTGGTGGCTCTTGATCGCGGCGCCCGGCCGGGCGACTCCACCGCGGGCACCCGTCCACGGTGAACTAAAACCGGCTTCGCGCCAGACGGAGGAAGGAAGGGGAGTCTAAAGAGCGGATAGGCGTAGCATCCTGCCCGTGTGTGTCCACCATAGCCTAGAGGGACCCGGGTGGGAGGTTATCTTGGTGGCGAGCTGGGCCCTTGCTGAGTGAGGCAACCTTTGGATGACGAGCCATCTCAAACCCCTCCTTGCAGCTTGTTTCACCCCTGATGCGATGCGAAGTCCATCCTGCGAGAAGCGTTAGAAGAAATCAGAAGAGCAAATCAAACAGATCATTACTGACAGGTCGGGGTTTGGTTCCATAAACCCTAGGCCAGCCTCCGTCGCGGTGGCGTGTCCTCGGAGAAAAAAATTCGAATGCCAGTGCTGTTGGTGAGTTGCCACTTCTCTAGCCGCCCAGCCACCGTGAGGCGTCCGCTTATCATAGCAAGCCTCAGTGCCAGCCTAGAAACACACGTGATTCAGACACATCACAAAACTTCCGTCGCCCGTCAAACTGCTGTCTCACTAACTAATTTACGAGCCAGATGACAAGTCTCAAGTTGGAACCGTGGCCATTTTTGGCCTTGGGTGACAGGCAAGTAATCGTCATGATTATCGTTTCAATAACGGGCCTCTTCTCAGGCAGCTTGGCATGTCAACCCCTGTGTGGTCTGCTGCCGGGATGTGACGACGCAGGGATGACCAACTCCCATGGTGCCTTTTTTCCATGATGCGATCATTTCGTTTTTTTTTTCTCTTCATCTTTATTCTTTTTTCTTGTGGTGGCTCTCCTTCTTGCCATGGCCTGAAGTTACCCTGACCGTCTTTTATTACCTCGTTTACATTGGTGGCATTTAGGCAATTCACTAACTTGCCCTTGTGCCGTCGTAACCTGCCCGCGAAAGCTTGCGTCTCATCTCTGAACTCCCATGTAATATGCACATGACTCCTTCCAAAACTACCATTTCTTCATGCGCAACCAACATCAGGACAGCGGGCCATGTCCCCGACGACAACTCCAACACTCGTCCCCTTGCTGCGACTGGTCTGTACAGAGTCTAGACCGCGTACCGAGTCGGCGACGCTGCGCTTCATTCAGGCCATTCTGAAGAGATGAGGACAATTCGTCACCCGGCCTTAGACTGCGGGATGCTGCCAACTTTGCCGATACGGGCCCTGCCGCATCCTCGTCAAGTTGTAGCGGAGTTTGGCTGTCGGTTCCAGCTGGCTCATCATGTTTCGTAGCTGCCACATCACAAGGAGATCAGCTACTAGGTTCCTCCTACGCCTACGCCAGACCTCCCCGTTTGAATCGCGACACAAATTGGCCGAACCTTCGACGGCGCCCTAACACGCGGCCGTGAAACGCAGAGAGCCAGTCATTGATTGGACGACCATGAAGCCGTCAAAATCATCTCAGTGCCGAAGATTCCGTCGTGGGGCGCCTCGTCAGGCCGAATGCAACTCGTCGCAGAGTCCCGGCTTGTAAATCAGCTTGTGATTCGAGCACGACACCAGCGGCAATCGCATCTCTGCAAGGTAACCACCTCACGAGCACCTTTCCTATAGAAGCGGTCAAAGGTGCACGAGGCAAAAGGGCTCAACCGTAGCAAGCAAGACGTGATTTCTTTTTCTCATTAAATGGTCCCGCACAGAGCCGCCTTGAGCCCCGTTCGGCTCGACGGGGCCGAGAAGTTCGGGATACCCTTTTCGGAAAGCGACGAGAAGAGCAAAAACAGGCCAAATTTTATTTTTGGAACCACTCAATCTATACACCCCTGTTCGGACCACGTTTTTTTTTTCTGCTTTTATTCCTTCGGTATTGCCTCTTTCATGTATGGCGGCCGGAGTTTTCCTGTGGCGTGCAACGGGGTGGCTACGGCTCACGGGGCCGTAATTATATCCAGAAGACGGTTCGGAAGAACTAATGGCCTGCATTTCTTTAATGGATACAATGAAAAGAATAAATAGTTCGAGGAGGGGGTCGCAAGCCATTGAACACGGGCTTCACAGTCGCACTCGGCTCCGCACTTATTACACCGAACTACCTGACCGGAGAAATCCCCGACAGCTTTCACGTGTGCAGAGTTTCGATAACAGCATCCCGCCCCGAAGAGCTCACAGCGTCCATCCAGTCGGCGATGTATATCGCGCACCGTGGGCTTAGCATCCATGATGTTGCCATTACCACCCCACCACCCCAAGGTGTACACCACTCGCCACCGCACGGAGTCAACAGCCGGGCGCGTCCGGGAGTATCAAGCCGTCACGGAACTCAAATCTTGATTTTCCCCCTTTGCCATATTCCCGTTGCAAGGTCAACAACGCCCGCCGATCGCAACCCTCCCCTCGCGAGTGTCGATCTATCTAGATGTGGGCTGCCCAACTCCACCAACCCTTCTCCCAGGCCGCGGCTTTCGCAACAATTCTCGAAACCGCCCTTGTACGGGGATAACAAACTCTCTTGCTACATATGTGTCATCCCTCCCTCGTAGATGGCAAACCAGCTTCCTTCGTATCTTTGCGTCGCAGCCAACGCAACGGAACCGAAGCTTGTAGCCAAAACCTTGATGGCTCGAAGATTGGCACATCGCGCATGATGCCCGACCTTGCGCATGCCCGGGTTGGTAAACTGGGTCACGTCGTTTTAACGAGACTCCTCCCCCTGCGTAGTGACCACATATGGGATCGGGGCGACAAGATGGACATTTTCCCACATTTCTTGTATTCTCTGATCGTCGTTGTCTTCTGGCATTGTACATGCCGGCATGATGGCAGGCCTTTGGAAATTGCAAAAGCCAGACCCAGTATCGCACAATACCTCGTAACATAGGACAGCCCAGCCCACCTACCAGACGGGTCTTGTTTGTGCTTGGAGATCGATGCAAGATCTCCTGTCAATCTGTCTGTTATCACAGTCTATTCATTGCTGTCTTTGGCAATCCAACTAGATGCAATAGTCGATATTTCACCAGACATCCATCTATCAACAGGCTCCTACCCATTCTTCCAACCTGCGCTCAGTCATACGCCTTCAACATGCTATTCGCCGGGTGCCCGATCGCCTTGTCTAGAATCGAGCGTGGCGTCGTCTCGGCCGTCTCAACTACCACAGTATCGCCGTCTCCCTCCTCATCCCGCGTCGCCACATCCCCATTATCCTCACCGCGCCACGAGGTGCCGTCCATGAACATCTTCAGTAGCGCCTGCGAGTTCCCGATGACCAGCGCCGTGCCCTCGTCCGTCACCGTCACCGGCGTTGTCGAGTTCCCGCTCAGGTCCCAAAACACCAGCTCCGGCACCTCGTAGCCTTCGGCAGCGCAGAGATCGCGAATCACCTCGTACGACGTCCTCCAATGCGCGGCGGCGCCCTCCTCCGCCTCGTCAAACTGCATGTCGCTGAAGACAAAGACGCGCTTGACCATGCCCGCGGGGGCGACCTTGCCAGCATCGGCCGCGGGCAGGATGAGGTCGCGGAAGATGCTCACAAAATTCGGGTTCCGCAAGTCGAGCTCCCAGCCTAACCGGAACATCTCTGTGAGCCGACTTTTCACCGAAGGAGTCCAGGTTCAACCGGACCAGCTCGGGTTGCACAGAGAAAGTGACAAAGCTGCCGCGAAAGGGGGCCTTTGTGGTTTCGGCGACGAGCATGGAGGGCCCGGCGGTGGCGTCGATATAATTGGTCCGTCTTTGGATATCCCTTCATCCATGCTTCCCGAGATGTCGCACACGGCGAGGCACGACTCGAGCGCGCCCGACTCCTTCATCTGCTTGACAATGGCTTTCCACTGCCCCTCCAGAAACTGCAGATTCATATCATTCATCTGGTGCTTCGAAACTTCCCTGGCTTTCAGATACGGAAGATTGCCTTTGTTCAGCTTAGTTCCCGCATCCAATGGCAACTCCTCTATCTGGTGTACAACGGCCGCCGGCGTCATGGTAGCCCCGGACATGGTCGCCTTTTCGAGCCCAACGTCGACAAGATAGTTTTTAACGTGGTCGCCGTCGTTCATGATAAAGGCGCGCTTGTGCAAGTCCATGGCCAGCGACGGAACCTTGCTGTAGTTGCAATCTCGCCACACATCTTGGCCGTTATCTTTCGCTCCACGACTTCTAGGTGCTTGCGCAGCGCCAAGGCGTCTCATCTATAAAGCTCCCCGGCATGTCGAAGCTACGTTTCGCGATCGTCTGTCGTCTGTCGACTCAAGAGCCGCAATTTGATCTCGCAGATGCAGAATCTCGGCAATCGAGCTCACGATGTATGTGTGACGGTCGTGAAAGCGATCGTCGGAAGGCGCCCACTTGGCGCAAAGCGAAATCATCCCACGGGCCTGAGCATCGCCTTGCCTCAGGGCATGCGTATCGATTCGTAGTTGCTCGGCAAAGAGGCGTGCGATGGCCAGGTGTAGCACTCTGGAGACAGGGATCGTCTTGAACGCTTCGGTGGCCATTTCGTGCCTCTCTTGCTCGATTTGCTTTTTGCTCTTGTATACCTGCTTATCTGGCCCCCAATTGGGAAGCGGGCTGATACCTCTCCCTTCTTGAGCCCATCTGACGGGTGAGTGTAGTTATGCTCTGTCTCCTTTGTCCATTCGCTTGCCTTCTCTGCGGTGGCATCGCTTCTCGATCGCGAGTATCCTGCGAAAAATCGTCTTTCACATTCAGCACGTCCAGGTCGTACTCGAGGCCTGGCGCTCCACAGACGCTCAACACGAGGATGTTGAGGAGGTCTTTCCAGTATCCATGGGACACGCCATACTGGACTTCAAAGCGACTGGAGTCGCTTTCCTGCTTCTCTGCGTGGACAATCTAAGTCTTGTCGTGAGGCCGTGAGGCCCTCGTGGCAAGGCACCAGCACGGAGCGAGTGTTTCTGAGGTACCACGGCGTTGTGTTTCCATTTTCTTTTTCTTTTTTCCGATTTCTTGCAGGCGGAAGTCAATGGAAGAAAGGCTTGGCTTTATATATGTGCGGCAAGTATCTCAGTATTCTTAAGAATATGGTTCATAAAGCTGGTCATGCCAAACTCTAAACCAGAGACTGGGAGGTGACTGCTGAGGTGGAATTTGATGGCGGCGGCTGCCTGAAACTACACACATGGCGGCGGCGCGAGATCGGTCTCGGCCAAGTATGATTAAATAGTCACCATTAAAAATCCGGCATTAAACTCTCTATTGTTTTTCATCTCATCTTATCAAGCAAAGTGTGGCTTGCCATAGCCGAGGCTAGCGTGGGTTGGAGATAAGGCAAGGGCGTTCGATCGACGCAGGTTGAGATAAGGCATGCACGGCTAGACGGGGAGTGGAACTGGGTTATCTTGATAAGAGAATCAGATGAGGTATATATTAAACTAAGATGTCGCCACGCAATGCAAAATTCAAGCATCCCCATCATGGTCACCATCGGTCGGTCGGTCCACGACCTGCTGCCGCGGTCGTCTACAGACGTCTGCTAAGCGTCTCGAGCAACTGTACCTCCTCCTGCGTCAGATACATCTCCTGCGGTACCACGACATCGCCCGGCCGGATTACGACCTCGTTGTGCTCGTGCTTGCGGTGCAAGATGTCCGCCAACGTCTCCGGCGACGGCTCCGCACCATCCTCCGTCTCGGAGCCAATCGTCTTCGGCTCTTCCGCCGTGGTCGCGCTGCCAGCCGGCGCCAGGCTCTCCGGATCCTCCTCCTTGGCGCGGTGCAGGATCGGTCGCTTGGCGTGCAGCGTCTCCGGCGTCCACCAGTAGACGGGAAAGCGGCGCTCGATGTTGTTGACGACGAGGGCGACGGCGACCATGAGCGTGCAGCCGAGCGCCATCACGGGGATGAGGAACCAGCCGAGGCCGAGGAGGCGGTCGTCGACGACGGCGAGCAGCGCAGTGGCGCCGGCGGGCGGGTGGACCGTCTTGGTGAGGGCCATGAGGGAGGTGGTGGCGGCGCAGGCGAGCGCGCCGCCGACGTACTGGATGCTGTCGAAGTGGTTGCTGAGGAGGAACAGCTTCGCGACGGCGACGCCAATGACGGACGCCAGCAACTGACCGATGAATGCATTGCGAGGCTGCGCGAGCGGAGACTCTATGGCGTAGAACTCGAGGACAGCGGTGGCGCCCTGGGAATGATGGTCAGCGGACGAACGGACGACGGGACTTGCTTGGAGGGGTACGGCGCGACACAGCACGCGGGGGGGGGCCAACGCACAAACGACCCGACGATAGCGGGCACATGGTGGCTCTCAAAGCTCGGAATGTGCGTCGAGACGACCTGGACAATGATGATGGCGCAGAAGATGCCGATAAAGGCCCAGAAGGTGGGCATGATGTTGCCCGTGTTGGCGGGCTTGGTCTTGCGGTAGCCCAGGAAGTGGGCGACTGGGTAGGGCAGGTAGCGCCATGGCGGCGCGGGAACGATTGGATCGAGGTATCGATCAATGTCAAAGTTCCATGCGTGATGGGAATTCGGTCGACGCATGGTTGCCGGTGTGTGTGGTGATTGACGTGCGCAGCAGCGTCGCGGTCGCGGCCACCGCTCTAAGGACAGCAGTCACTGGGGGAGGGCTTCTCACAGCGCACGGCAGGATGCAGGGGCTCGGGTTTCTTTTCAAGGCGGAATGGGAGACCGGATGGCTGATGGGACGGAGGATGACGAGGAGGAGGAGCAAAGACTTTTTTTGTGTCCCCTCCCTCATCAAACATCAGACAAGGGCGCGAGCGCGACAAACGAGAGACGGCGCCGACCGATGCCGTGCTGGAGCTGGCAGTTGCTGGTCTGGGCAGACCCACGTCTCCGAACGCCGTGGCGGCCCAAGGGATTTCATTGACTAATAACCGACTGACTTGAACATTTCCGCGGAACATCTTGGCTGGGGAAGCACAGCATCACTCCACGAAGCAAACGTTTGCTGCGATGAATCTGGCGAATGGCTCGAAACAGGTGGCAGTCAAGATCTAGATGATCTGTGATAACACATACTCCCAGGCACTCGGCTTGTCCTGCAGCTGTGTCGCATCTCGGGAAAGCTTCGGGATCGAGCAACGAACATGAGCAAGTGGACCGGAAATACCGTCGCCAGGCGGCATATAGCGCACGTCATTTTTCATCGTTCCCCCACAGTGTCCTATACCGCCCTATAACGCCCTATGACACGCTATACCAGAACGGCCATGTCGCCGCGCAAGAGGCGTTCTTCGCGTTGGCTCACACGGATCGAGGCGATGCTAGTAGTGTCCGATTTCAACTCCCGAGGCCTTCGATTCTTTCGTTCAAGCAAGCGTGTATTACTATCGTATCGTAGCTGACATACGCGCGCCAAGGTCGCACCGGATCTCGCAGCTACTGTAGCTGCATTGAGTATGGTACTTTTGCTTTTGTAAGAGTAAGATTGTCACACCATCATCAGTGCTGCTTAAAGGTAAAAAACACCCTGTGCTGGCATCCATCGTCAGTAGTCCCATTTTGTACGTCGAAGTCAGAGTATAAGACTTGTTGTCAAAGAGCACGTCGTCGGCGTCAGCAGCGTATGCTCGCAGGCCGTGCATACCCCGCGCGCCGAGTGCAGCTTCATAGTGCCATCGGGTCCTTTCACTTGAAGGAAGAAGTTGGAAGCCATAGGCAGGTCGTGCTGGCTGCAAGGTACAATTTGGCTGTCGAGCGCCACGCGAATATCTCGCCTCAGCTGCTCAGGGCGAGCGCCGTAGTATCTGTCTGGTTTCCCTGGCACAAGTGTTCCGTCGGTCAAGGCGTCAAGGTTTGTAAATGCTACATCACCTGCTGCCCACTTCCGATCGCCGATTTCGCCTTCGATAATGGGAATGATTGATGCCATCACGTCTGACTCTTTCGACACTTGAGCATTGGCTTCCTTGAATGCCCTAAAATGCTCGGCAGTAAATTTTGAAGGGGATATTGAGGCTCGATCTTGGGACAGCAGCTTGAGCACAGAAGCAAGATGAAACTATCAAGAGCCTGCTTGGCAGCACTCACGGTGGTGGAAGCGGGCCTAGGGGCTACAGCACTTTCCTTCCTCACAATGACTACCTCCCAGACCTACTACCTACATACATATCTGCGTATGCTCCAAGAGTAAAATTTACACTTGTGCAAGGCATTCCGGACAGATATCATGGCACTTGACTATCAATCGGTGTTCCTTGATATGCCGTGCTGTACTGTACATTTATCAGGTCACTCGGATAGGTAGGCGCCGAGTCCATATGCAGAGGACTTCCAACTGGAGCTGCTCGCTCACCTACTCTTTAGATTGGAGTTAATCTTGATATGATGTGCCAACTACAAACAAGAATTGCGATCGAGGATTTGGCTACCTATTTATTAGGTCACATCCAAGATGCTTGGCGTTGATTAGAGCAAAGCTAGCAGCATTCCAGGTTAGTTGGTGGCTGGTTGAAGGTAACCACCGCTAGCTAAAAATAGCAGCCCAAGTCAATCAATCTTGGGGCATCAATCAAGACTTGCAGGTTCACGATTTCACCATCACCTGCGGCTGGCCAAGCATATGCCTGGTACAGACCCTTGTTCTACGCTCGCATCACTTTCTTACGAATAATGGTTTGATTAGACTGACCAAGGCTTTTCTTTAGCCCAAGGCATCATCATTCAGCCTCAACTGCAGCCCCTTGGCCCTCTTGTTTGTTATCTGTAGCACAGGCAACTAACGGTCTGCAATGCAAGGTAAATTTTGCTAGATTCTAGGGTAAACTACCTATTTTGTTAGGGAACATGCGCCACATGGCTTCGATCAACACCCTCCTCCTCAACCCAGCCCCCGCATCTCAACCACAGCAGTCGTGCTTCGGAGCAGCGGCAGTAATATTGGTGACCGTGGTAGTGATAGTGGTGGCAGAGGCTGTAATCGTAGTTGAGTACGTGTTTGAGAAGGAGCCGTGTCGTCGGTTGGCCGTTGCTTTTTTCATCTCTGGATGGAGTAGAAATGGAGATGTTGATGATTGCTGTGGCAGATTGGAGCGGGCAATACGCTATTTATACTCGCACGGGCTGGATAAACAAGGTAGAATTCAGCAGACTCAATCACGCAGGGACAGACTCCTTGTCAGTAGCGCCTGACCTAATGGTGCTACTTGATTGCCATGGCCAACGCGTGAATCTACACATGCTGCCCGTTAGGCCACTGAAATACGAGAGAGTTGAGGAGGTGAAGGCGGTGACTGGATGTCTCTTGCTATTGATATCACAGCGACGGCGTACAAGCACTGGTAAAAGACGCCTGGTCATGAGGCCAGCATTTAGTCGTGAGACCAGGATGAGTAACAGATTGGGCCGCTTCCGCTTCCGCTTCCAAACTGATGTTGTGCAAATTACAGTTGCACCACGACCGCTGCAGACAGAGAAGGAGTACCACGGTTTGGTCACAGAGCATAGTGCACACCGGGTGAAGCAGTATTAGTCACCCCTCCCCCTCCAGCAACAGGACGGAGGAGACGGAAAACACAGGCGAGACTCTTTTTTTCGTACGGACTATAGGTAGCGCATGCGACTGTGATGCCAGCGTTCTTATTATAGAGATCTCGCAGATTCAGTAATGTGACTGAGAACTAGCCGTTGACTGTGCCGCGAGGAGAAATCACAAAAAGAGGCCCTGCGCAACATGTTTGCTGGGCGAGTCATCACCTTCTAAAAGGTGTCCCAGGTTTCCTCACCTAAGCTCTAAAAAAAGCCATATCGATATCCTGAAAGTGATTCTTAATGTCAGTCGTGATACCAGGGAACTCTGCAGAAATTTCTGGGTTGACGTTGGCGCGGCCTTGATGCCTTGATGTACTTGGGAGTGGTATCGGACAGTGGCAAAGCGTGCCTTCGTTCACACTTGCTCATAGTTGGGGGTGACTGCATTTTCCGTGTTGAAAAGAACAATTCTGATGGCATCTTGCACGCGGGCAAGTCGAGCGCTGTTGTCTCGAGTGCCGCCGGCGACTGCCATGGCTTCCTGTTCGGCAGGTTCCTGGCTGATGCGCGGCAGGCGCCCGGTCGGCGCTGGCAGGCTTTGCATGCAGAGTCTTGGGGGGATACAAGGCAAAGACGCAGCTGGTCTTCCAGTACTTACACGCCTAGCAGGATTACGTGCACTTGCGAAGCTGTCGCCAGGTCGCGGGCGTTGTTGCGTCTTCATCCATGTCTTGCTCCATGCTGCGTAACGAGGTAATCATGACAGTGCTGGCTGTCTTGGCATGTGCTGTCTATCAAGCAATGTCCGAAGGTCGGCGTTTCCATCATTTGCTTGGATTGGGATGCAAGGGGTGCAGCTGTAACAAACAGATTACTCGGGAGTTCAGTAACTCAAGGAGCTGTAATGGACATCTTGCGCTACACAAGGTACGGAGCATTGTAAATTTGAGGTACGTACCAAATTGTACTCGCTTAATGAGTGTTTTATTGTCTGCCATAGGGTTGACTGATGTGTTGCACTGCTTTTCAGCTCTCGCCACCTCCATAGCGGGAGAGACCGCACAACCCCTCACGCCGAGCTTTCCTGTGCCAAATTCTTCCTCTTCTTCTTTTGTGTAACCATCTCCCTTGACCGTTGTTCTTGTTAAAAATACGGAGAGTAAGAATGATGAACAAGCCACTCGAACTAACTGTGCCTTCAATCGTTTGCGATTTTTCACTCGATAAGCTCCCAGATACGATCATCGGCCTCGACTCCATCCTATGCAGTCTGCGGTTTCTCGATGGCGATGCCCTTCTAGACCATTCTTCCTTGTGCATTTTAGAATATGCCGACGTTCCTCTCTCCGAAATATCATACTCTGTGGTATCCTATCCATGGAGAGATTTACAGATGCCGCCGGATACGACCCCGCCAGAGGGTAGTTTCGGGGTCGTCGGTGCAGAACATGCGGATCCAACCAGTATCGATGTTCTACGTACCATTTGTACGGCTGCACGCGTGGGCAAGTTATCCCGGTGTGGATAGATAGGCTCTGCATCCTGCAGGACAACAAGCAAGACAAAACGTGGCAGATCCAGCGCATGCATGACTTTTATGCAAAATGCCAGATGTGCCTCGTGGTTCCTGGAGGTCTAGTGCGCCTTGCAGAGGTCAGCGACACGACATGTTGGGCGGACCGGGCTTGGACGCTCCAAGAAGCAGTCGCACCCGGTGGTCGCGAGGGGGAACGATTGAAGTGTGTCTTCAGTTTCACCGATCCCACCTTCGACGAGTTTCTTCGAAAATATTTGGAAACTCCAGAACTGAGTGAAGGGTTCAAGAGGTTCCTTCGACTAACAAGGCACAACCCCGTTCAGAACATCCTAGTACCGGGGTACTCGGCGATGGGTCCCCTTTTCGACATTTTCCACATGATTTGGGGCTGGACTGGCGCATTCAAGTATCACCAGCCGGGTCTAGAGCCGTGGGAATAGCACTCGTATTTTCCAGTGCGCATCGTTCGGGAGAGTCAAGCCTCCCTGCTGCGGCGGGCCATGAGCCTGCATGGGGTAGACATTTGGCGTGCAGCATACACTAGGACCTCGTCACGCCCGGTGGACATGATACTCAGTATTATGGGTTTGTTTGGCGTCACGCTTCCTGTGGGCGACTTCAGAGCAGAGGATCGCGTCAAGGCAACACTCAGGCTGCTCCAGGAACTCACGAACCGCAATGGACAAGCTGCAAACTGGCTGTATATCGCGCCTGAGCTGCCTCCGTCGCCACATCTCTCGACGCTGCTCGTTATGCCCGAAACATCAGAGAGCGGGAGGGCATACGTGATGACACCTGACGGAAGAAAGGCTACCCCTGAGCTCATCCGTGAAAGATGGGACAGCAGGGGTGCACCGTTTGGCAAGGTCAACGACAGGGGATATTTCATATTTTCTGCGCGAGCAGCGAAGGTCGTTGAACTTGCGGATTTGCATTGGAATGGAACCAGATCCCAGCTCGCTTCAAGCGGCTTCAACAAACCAGCAAAACAGCGTGTAGTCGCAGAGACAAATGGGTCGTCAATATTGGGCGCCACCAAGAGCTCATTGAAGATCCAGTCACTGGGCAGTCGAAGGGCACAAAGCGTGGAGATCCTCCGCCAGTTGGCTTTACAGAGTTAGTCTTGATGTTTGTCGAAAGCCATGCGGATGGGATGTACCATCGGATAGGAATGGAGAGACATATCGACGACAGTAAAACGGCTGGATGGGATTGGGAGTCGCACCAATTCCACGTTGGGGACAAGGAACGGGTGAGCGGGTGCGATTTGGTATCTCGCCGGCGGGACCTGTTGATACCAGAGATGTTGCAGAGCAATTCGGGTCAGATCCGAGTGGGTTTCATAATAAGAAGCGAGATATTTATGTATTTGATAGATGATTGGTTTTGAGTGATGAATAATGACAGATTCTAGTCCCGTACCTTAGATCCTCGCTGTGTACGAATACGGGGGTGTGTCTGGTACGTACCTTGGAGTACGTGCCCTGCTCAGCCACAACGCCTCATTACACGTACAACATGTACATGCGCACCCGCCACCCGCAAGATTGTCCACCCCGTCACCGTCACCATAACCCCATTCAAGTTTCCAGGCGGCCTCTTTGTGACTCGGTGACGTGTGCGAGGCTCTCAAGAGGAGCAAGAAGAAAGGCACAGAGCACTCCCGTGCGGCACGCTCCATTTCTTCCACAAACAACAGGCACGCCCCGACATTCGGGCATTTGTCTTTGTCCCTTCCTCCCACATCCATTTCCAACCCCAGTCAACGTCTACTCCATCCGCCAGTACCAGCGCCACACAACACCAAGAGCCTCCAACCCCAAGCGAGGAACCCCCGCTTTTTTAGTTTTTACCCTGACATTTCCGTCCCGACGACCCTCGATCCCACTCAAACGCATACGACCATTGTCTCTCTCAACCTTTCCGCTTCAACCATCCTGCCTGCTCCCATATCA